CGCCGCCGGCGGCGTCCCGGGGGTTTTGCGGACAGCCCGTGCTTGGCGGGGGCCCAGAACAACCGCTTAGGGTTCTGTCTGCGCTTTGTAAAGAGAGCTCTGGGAGCCTCTTGCCTTCCCTCTCAAAGGACCCCAGAACTGTAGTTTAGATCCGGTCTCTGCCGCTGTCTCTCGGGGGGGGGGACCATCCCACTGATGCTGCTTCAGAGAAGCAAGTGTGCTCTTCCATGGAGACCCGCCTCGGTTTGCCTTCTCCTCTCCCAACTTCCTGCCACCCTCTGGGGTTACCACCAACCACAGAGCTGCTGTGTTGTTCTGCTGCCTCGGATTCTGTCTGTCCTAAGGGGCTCTTCCGCTCCTGAGTTCCCTGGGGTGGATGGCAAGCCTGTAGCGGGAAGTCCCAGTTGTCCGCCAGGTCCCTTTCCTCAAATGGCAGTTCCCTGCAAAGAAGGGAGAGCCAAAGATCTTTCTGGTCCGGCAGCCTCAGGACTTTCCACGGGCTTAACTGCGTGCATGCAGTTATGAAGGCCAGGCCTGGCTAGGTTTGGGAGGAGGTTCCTGAGCTGGTGTTTCTCTCCCTAACAGGTTCCTCGAAATGGTGGAAGCTCGAGGCCGTGGGCACGCCTCTCCTTTGGCCACCAACGGGCAGAGCCTTTCCTCGGGTTCCCAGTCACCGGTGGTCCCACCTGGCAATGCTTCAGGGGGCTCCAGCCCTGGCACCCCCCAGCAGAGCTTGGCCAGCCCTGCCACTGTCACGGACCCTGTTGAGCCTCCCGCACCAGGGCTGCCTCCTGAAGCCCAGCCTCCCGCAGCCATGCCGGCACCAGCTCCGCCGCAGAAACGCGGCATCATCGCTCGGCTCTTTGGGACGTCCCCGGCTCCCGAGACCGGCCCTCCCCCTCCGGGTGAGAGGGCAGCTGCTGGCCCCTTTCTCTGGAAAGCGCATGGGAATTTGGGTCCTTACTGGGGATGGGAGAAACGCTGAGCACCCGTTTCTGCTGTGGCAAGATGATGCCAGCTTGGGGACGGGAATTGTCTGCTGTGGGCGCTTCCAGGCCCGCTGTTGAGCTGGGTTCTCTGTCTGCTGGCTCGCTGCGTCAGGGCTTAACCGGCTCCCCTGCGGTGCTGCTCTTGCCTTCCAGACCCTGCCGTTCCTGCCCTCCCTGCAGCTGCTCCCTCAAAAGTCCAGAGCGTAGAGGACTTTGTCCCCGAGGAGAGCCTGGACCACAGCTTCCTGGAAGACCCCATCCTGCAGAGAGACAAAGGGGGGATACAGGCAGCAAAGGCTCCCACCGATAGTGACAGGTGGGGAGACCCTGCTCTGCGGCTTTGTGCTGTGGGCTGACCCAGCAGAGCCGCTCTGCGCTGGGCGGTCGACCACAAGGGCTCGCCTCAGTTCCGAGAAGCACCTTCTTCTGCCCCAGAGAAGCGGGGGTCAGAAGATGGCACCCTGACGCTGCTCTCCGCCGTTCAAGCCCCAGCCACCCATGCAGCGTGGTTTCTCTCTGCTCACTGCTGCCCTCCTGCATGTGTGCGTGTTCCAGCGGGTGGGAAGCAGCCAAGCCGCCCCCGTGGCCTGCTATTTGGTATTGGAGCAGCCTCTTGCCAAGGAGTTGAGCTGCTCTGGGCTCTTTCTCCAGAAATATCATTTTATGCTTCCAAGGCAGGTAATGGAGAGAAAGGGCCTCAACTGCTGCAATGGCTGGTCTGCATCTCGCAGGTCTGTGTCCCCCGACACTGAAACTGGGTGATTCGGAAAGTGGAGTTTCTGTAGCCCACTAAGCCTCTGAGGGAAGAGAAGTGGGCTTATGGCTCCTGACACGTTCGTCCCCCTCAGTGAAAGCAAATGCTGGAGAGAGAAGGTGGCTTAAGGGAGGGCGAGGTAGAGCCCACCAACTTTCTGTTCCTTCGTGCCCTCCCTCTTGTAATTAGCTCTCGGCCTCCGTTCCCTGTCCTCGTAAGTGAGCGTTTCCATGCTCGGCACGTTGTCACTTGTCCCACCGTGACCTTCAAAGCGGCAATAGGCTGGGAGCCGCTTTTGAAGACTCCCGAATTGCAGATCCTCTTCCAGATTCTACGTTTAGTCTATGGGATGGTGGCAGATGCAAGAAAGCACGGTGCCTTCAGCAGCTGGCTTTCCGTGCTGGTCACACAGATTCTGTGTGGCACAACAAACATCGTCTCTCCAGAACTGCCTGTCAGCAGCTGCTGCTTGTACGCTCCTGTGCGTGTTGCTGGAGACGCCGTTTCGCTCGCTTGTCTTTTGTCAGGCTCCTTCTGTTGCTTAGGTTTTTTAACCCTCGGTGACTCTTGCCTTCTGCATTAAGCATCCAGAATGTTTAAGCTTTAGCTTCATTATTAGGGCTTCCAGTGAGCAGCCCAGATCTACTTCATCTACTATTGACAGATACGCTCTTCTTCCTCCCCACGGTATTCTCGCTGACATGCTTTTCCCCTAAACAAAGCAATCTGCACAGGGAAAAGGGTGGTGGTCTAGAAAGGCACATTTTAGACTTCTGCACCTGTTGAGAAAGGCCCCATGTGCCAGGCAGGGCACCTCGCTTGCATGCCATTTGCTTCCTGGAATTCTCGGGCAGCAGTGCTGGGAAAGGCCACTGTCAGCCAGAGGAATTCAGGAGGAAGACCACCTCTCAAGCTGAAGCTTCTGGACTTTGCCCTGCCCGTCCCTGCTTGTTTTTACTCACGCCTTCAGAATGTGTCACCTCTCTGGGATTTTTTCTTACAGTGACAGAGATGCTCCTGGTGGGAACCCCTTGGTTGCTGGCTTCCAGGATGATCTGGACCTTGATGAGCATCTGTCCAGCAAGCCCCCGTTAGTGGCAGAGCTGGCCCCAAGCAAAAACGTGACCTTGTCAAGTGAAGAAGAAGAATGCTCCAAGTTCTCCATCAAGGTGGCTGAAGATACTGGCTTGGAACAGGAAAAAAAACGGTAAAAGGGTGCTGGGCGTGGCGGGAGGGAGCCTCCAGTTATTGCTGAACTACAACTCCCAGCAGCCCCAGCCAACCTGGCCCATAGCAAGATGTGCAGGGAGAGGCAGCTGAGTGCTGTAACGTGTTCTCAGCTCCAGCTTTAGCAGGCCAATTGTTGCTGTTCAGTTTAAAATGTATTATTTAAACATTTTATCAAATCTAAATAATCAAAACTGTAACATAGCGGGCCAGACTTTAAAAACAAAAACAAAAGAACAGTACCAATAAAATTCAGTTAACACGTATACATTGAAAAATGCATATATAAGAAAAACCTTAAAGCCCTTTATGTTCACCATTATTGGCATATTTACAGATTCAGGGTTTGTGGGATTTTGCCCATCAATTTTTTGCATACAGTGGAACCTCGGGTTACGAACGCCTCTGTTAACGAACTTTTCGGGTTACGACCAG